CAAACCAAAACCAGTTAAAATATAGCACTGGGTGCTATTATTTAATGTGCCCCTCTTTCCCATTGGCACAGTTCTCTATGCATGGGCATGTTGGGGTTATTTTCCCAGCTTGATTATGAGACTCTTACATAAGGCCATTTCACAAGCCTTACAGATCAGGTTAAGTCTTACCAATTATCTGTCTTATCGTCTATGCTCTAAGTCAGTTATCATGTTAAAGGAGAAAGTTTGTGCTGAGAAATGACATTTTGAATTTGCAGTACTTTAGTTTTTGTCCACGGTTTGAGTGATGTATTTTATTTTGTGCTAGAATTTTTATATTTCAATAAATAACAGAAGCACTTAACTCTGTGCAACAGAACTTTCCAAGGCACTGTGAAACTTAATACATGGTATTTGATATTAGACAATAGTCATGAAAAAAATAGTTTGTTGTTACTGTTGTTTTTCTAACCAGAGTCATCAATTACAACGTCAATCACCAGCTGGAAGGGAAACTTCTTAAATTTATTAGGAACAATTGTAAAAGTTGACATAAACCTATAAATTATTCTTCCATGCTCTTTGCTTCTGAAACACTTAGAATCATAGAATTGCAGTGCCATCAACGTTGTAAGAGACCTTTAAGACCATAAAGTCCAACCGTTAACCTGCCACTCCACTCTAACCCCTAAACCATATCTTCCAGTGACAGATCCAGATGCCTCTTAAACACTTCTAGGTGTGGTGACTTCACCACTTCCCTGGGCAACCTATTCCAATGCCTAACAGATTAGATCTTCTATACAGCTGGTCTGCCATTTCTTTATTCCAGAATATGACTATGCTTCTTCAGAAAACTTACCAAGATTTATAAAGGTATTTATGGAAGCTTCAGAAGAAAAAATTAGCTTCTTCCCAAATTCTATGTGAAAATGGTTACTGACAATGTCCAGAAAAATTACCTTGGATTGAAATTATTTAAGTCACAGAAATCAGAAAGGAAGGATTACCTGGTGTACACTAGCAATTGTTATTTCAGACCTGATAGATAGTGGAAGTTACATGAAATAATATTTCTTCTGTAAATTAAGATGTACTTTTATTAGGTTTGCTTGCATTGTATATAAATATTGGGAGTTAGCAAAAGTTAAAATGCACAGGCTTTAATAAGAATGAAATTAGAGGACAATTGTGAGCAATACTGCTTTAAAATTTCTGAAGAAACCACAAATTCAATATGCAGAGAAAAATGCAACCCTGTTTGTTTACTGTGAATGGCAAACTACCTCAGTTTATTTTGAAAGGTCCCTTGTGTTCTCTTGTAATATTACAATTATATTCATTGGCAAACAGGATGAGCTATAAATCTGAATATTTTTTGACTTCACACATTTTTACTGAATCTTTGGTTATTAAAGCTGTACAGTGAAAAAGACAGACATACTCAACAGGTAAATAAGTCAGCTATGTCAGTCAGACAAAGTGTACATTAATACTATACAGATGTCCAAAATGCTTTTTAGTTGGCCTGACTCTCCTATATGGCTTGAATGAAAATGTTTTTAATTCCCTTGAAAACTGCAGTCACTATTCCTGCATTTTATAATCAAACAGAAAATATGTGATGTCAGCAGCACACTCTGGTAATTCTCCTTGGGAATTTTGATATAAAGATTAGAACCCATAATGGTGACCCCACCTAAAAATGAATTACTGGTTCCTGACCATCACTTTCCCTGATTTAGGACAGATAGTTTTGTTATATCAACAAGTCAGAATATGAACCCTAAAATGCCATAAAATTCACATGCTTTTCTTACTAATTCCTTGGACATGAAATTACGTGGCCACCACGAGGAAGAATATATTGATTCATAATGAATTACCTTGGAGGATGCTTGGCTAAAATCCATTTGCTTGTGTACAGCGTTGCTATTGTTAGAAATGTTATCCACTTTGTCCTGTAAATAGTTTTGGGAAGAAGAGATGAGGATTCTTGAACTAGAAATTATATCAATTTTTGTATCTTGAGTCAGGCCTCATAGATAAAAAGCCACCTTGCTTGTAATTATAGCAATTGTAATAGGACAATTATGCAAGGAAAGTGGAATTTACTTTGTGATCTTCCTGTCCTTAAATGATTCGTTTACAAGTCAAAGAGGAATTCACATGCCCTTAGTCTAGTCACATTTCCTTGTATGTTTGGATGCAAACCTTGAAAAAATTGTCCATCTGCATGTTCAGTCTGTTGGCAGTAATAAAAGCAAACTTAGAAGGAAAGAAAATAATGAAATGCACAGCTGGGTTAATCAGATATTGTAAATCTCTCCAAAACAGGTTATAAGGGGTAAAATACTAAATAAGAAATTTCTAGGGTCCTTATTTTAAACACAAGGTGTGACAGTACTGTAGCATATCAATGGGTATAAATCAATTGCCTATGCCTGTTTGGTTTACAGTGACTGATTTTAATTGATAAATTTACATAGTATAAAAATAGTTTTTCCTCCTGCAAAACTTACCTATTAAATGTAGATAAGAAAGTCAGACCTACCAGAAAATCCAGGAAACACAACCTCAGTCTGCCATGTCCCAGTCATGCTACCGATTCGCCTGTCTCACTCCTATTCAAACCGATATATTGCCTTGACATCTTGACAAACTGAAATTTTCTGATGGGAGAACCATTTCATGAAAGAAAGAAAGATCTCAGTCTCTTCTTCTTCACTACCATCCATGATTAAACATGATTCCCATTGTTTACCGTCCAGCCTAGTATTTCTTACATGCTCAATACGTTTTTACAAGAAAGACAGTTTCTGTTTTAAGGTTTTTCTTGGGGTTGTATGACAGCCCTTCTCAAAACTTATCAGGATTACACTTTTTTGCAAAATCATATTTAATTCTGCAAGAAGTCCTCAGAACTCTGGAGAAATCAGTGTATGTTAGTCGGAATAGAAAGGTAAAAAAACGATAATATATATTGATAAATATCACCAGTTAAGATGTATAGGATCTTATTTGACTTTGTGTTGCAGTTTTAAAACCTTTATATTAATTTTCCATGTACTGAATTACCAATTACCAAATAAAAGGCCAACAGATAACCATATTCCTTTACTACAAGGGACACTTGAACTAATTAAAAGTAATGCAGCAAATTATCTAAAACCATTTAGTCAGATACACCAGAGAGAGGTCAAACCTAGGGCAGGACTATTTAAATCAAATTGAATTCCATCCTGAGAATGGATTTCAAATAGATTTTTAATTGCAGTATTTTGTCCACAGGGCATTCTATCACACACTTTTTGTTTGCAAGTAAAATCTACCAGAATGTCCTCCATCAGGATAGTTCCAGGTCTATCTTCATTACAAAATTTCTGTATTATGAAATATGTAAATGTGTTCTGAGGCTTTCATTGCTCATCTGGCTTATAGTTAATCTCTCCAGCCAAACACTAACTGCTTTCCAGGTTTGGTTCATTTCATTAAGCACAAAAATGGGAAACAAAACAGTAACACTTGTGTACAGAGCATGCAGGACAAGAATGAAACCCCACACAGGAAGGACCCTGTCATGTTACTGCTCTGGCAATACTGCCTAAACACAAGGAATGTCAAACTCAGCATTTTCTGGGTACTGCCCTGGATAAGCATCCCCCTGACCACAAGGATACAGAGCTTTGGGCTTCTCCTATGCTTCTAGTTGCATGCAAAGTGTTCCCATCTTCTATTATACTTTCATGAGGATCACCACCCAAGAAAGAAATGGAAAGGTGAGGTATAGTCATTAGGACAACAGCAAAGTTACTGTTTGGGATACAGCAGACAATGGCAATAAGTACACCAGTCTATTGGCTTGTGAGGTTTTCAGACAAAAGCTTTGCTGAACAAATAACTGTAAATGTACTCTTTTTCTACAAAGAAGACTTTTGGGAAATTTTTTTCATAGAATATCAACAAATTATTTATAGTACCTTTGTTTACAATTAGTCTTGTTTATAGTTCTATTTCAGATATTTTGTTGTGGGACTGAATTGGTTTCAGATTCATTAAAGAAAATTTCAGTTCCAGATATGATACACTTTGCTTCATCTTTTTAAAGGCTGCAAAGAGACATTAATGACCTGGGAGGGGGGATGTTGCTGCTCTTCCCAACACTGTACTCTCGGTGGAAATTATCACAACAGAGCACTTTTGCGTTTCATGTAACATCTCAAAATTACTGAGACCTTAAAATGCTTTAAATAGGTTCATAAAGGACCCTAAAGTCACATGCTAATGGTCCTATCAAGCAGCTGATATTAGTAAACTCGTTGCAGCCAGAACACACTAAAAAATTAAGGATAGGCAGTTGCAGGTACGAAAGCAAAAATACTGTCCAATAACATAGATGAGGAATCTTACATCTATCCTGGTTGGGTGGAAACTACTAGTAGAAGAGGCTCCTGACAGTATGCAGGTGGTGCATCTCCTCACAACAACAACAGCAACTGCAGGTGGTTGGAGAATGCTTTTAAGAACTGGTTTAAAACTGGGCATGATTCTGGGTCTACCAACCTGGTGGCATCCAGCACCAGGGCAATGCTGATTCTGGTAAATGTGCCAGTTCTCATAATGACATAGGATACTGGAAAGCAAAAAAAAAAAAGTGGGCATTTAAAGTTTAAAAAAAAATTACAAAGAAATTTATATCTTCCCTAAATCATGCCTAAATTAATAGCCTTTCTGTGTAAATACTTACACAAGTCAACTGAATCTGTCTGAAATTTAGAGGGGCTAGGTGTGCTGTTTTGTATATATTTTATCTGTAAACCAAAATTCAGTTAAGTAAATGGTATTTTTTCCAAATACAGCTCCTAGTATAATGGATCAGGCTGCTCTATTGTTATCAAAATGTTGTTAAAAGCATCAAGTAAACTTGATACTGAGAGTGGCTGTTTTAAATTAATTGTATAATTGTTCTGAAATATGATAAATATATAAATTTAAAACTTCTGTTATTTGCTTGACAGACTTGAATCAAAGGAGCCTTTCCTGTCCGTTGGGTAAGTAGGAATATGTATATATATCTTCATGGATATTTATATATTCAACTAATTATGAGATTATGTGACCATAAACACCCTATTTCAACATTATGGTTATTTACTAAACCTAAACTTAGAAAAAGTAGGGTTTTGGTGAATAAAGTCAGCAGTCATAGACATTTTTCTTCTTAAAAAGAACTAAGATGTTTTGTCGTTATTGACTAAGCAAAACTTATATCAAAATACATGTAGGAGTTAAATGCTGCATTAAAAGGTAGCTGGTTTATTAGTTTTCACATCTTTCAGTCAGAAACCATTCCAAATATCATCTATACCACTTGTGTAAGCCCATGAAAAAATAATTTATAGTTTCTTTTAAAATAAAAATATTGTGATACTTCAATAACAGAAAGAAAAACAAATTTATGAATTAGGAAAACCCCAACATTTTTAGCCTAATTATAGATCACTACACTGACTTGCATATTACAGCTATTGTCTTCATAGTGGCATAGCCACTTAAACAGTTGCATGGTCTATATAATGAAATGATAACTCATCTTTCTAAAAGAGTATTTTTAAATGTGACAAATGCTGAAAAAATGTACCATTGTTTACAAAATGTAGACCATTATATGTATTAAAGGTAAGTATCTGCATTTTACTTCTTAGACTGAAGTTCACTTTTCATGCACTGTTTTCCTTTCAGCTTTTTTCTTTCAAACTTTCCTAAGTGTCCTAACATTCTCCTTCCCTGTTTCTACTTTCTACCAATCCAAAATGATTGAAAAATAATTTAAATGCATGTCAGATTGGGGAAGGCTGTACTGCTCTTCTTTTGCATGCTTCGAAATGTCCAAATTCATTATAAAATTCAGACCCTTGTGTTGCTAACTTTTATTACTCAGCCTCTTAACTTGTCCTATTGAGTTGGCTTTTTGATGCCTCCTCCACTCTTGCAATGAATTGATTACCTGAAAATCTCAAATGTAAGTTGAAAAAAGAAGTTGCAGGTCATTGTGGCTGAGAACAAACTTGAAAGTATAAAAATTCAGTAAGGAAATAAAAGACTATGAAAACAATTGCATTAATAGTAATGCCAGAGCAGGTGAGCAGATTGGTGGGCACTGTGTAAATCCATGCTACTTCCACATAGCCAGTGATGTGATTTTGTTGCTAAACTTGATTCCTTTCAGGAATTCTAATCTGAGCAAAGAGACTTAGCCTGTTTTCAGAACTTTTCTGAAGTTTGCATGTAATATACTTGAATTGTACTTTGCAAGTTCATAATGATAAGGATACAAAATGCAAAAATTTGTCCCCACATCTGTGCTACTTTTGCCTTTTGTTACTGTATATCCACACTGTTCTGAGGAGGGGCCCAAGACAGCATCCACCTCCTTGGTACTGTCAGAGAGATGCAACTTCTAGTCCCACGATAATTGGAGACTTTTTTATAGAGAATTTTTTACAGGAACCTTATCTAAGGTTTTAACCCAGACAGCTGCAACCACCAGGCTTTTAAAATACAGTAAATGTTTGCAGAAGAAATGCTGACTTAGCCTCAATTAAACTAACACATGGGTGCCTTTAATGCCTCTTGCAGACAGAGTTGGTCAAAACACCAATCTAAATTATTTTAGGCTGCCTACAGATGGCTTGGTTCTGCACACCAGCCTCTCATTCATCTACCTTCTGTGACAGAGATTTGTTTCCACATTTTCATTATGCTGCCTGTAGGAGCTAATTAAGCTTTTTTTATTTCACTGTGCCTGAGCACACAACTTCTTGGTGCTTTTCCATAGCTAATTCTATTGGCGGGGGAAAGGAACATGAAGCATGGCAACCTAAGAGCTCAAGACTGCCACAGATTGTTGAGCTCTGCATGTAAGTGTAGGGCTTCAGCCTTCCCATGAGAGATCCCACAAATGAAAATTGGTTGATAAAACATGGCATTGTTTTCCCTCTCTCAGAAAGAGAGAGCAGACCCCGCCTCTTGCTGTCGTAGTTTGTGTCTTGAATGCAGGGAGAGAACACCTCCTGTACTCCCTTGGTAAAGGCAATTCCATTTATCCTTCTTCTTGTGCAAAGTGCACTCTTGTTTAGTGTGTGCAAGATGGGCATAATTTCATACTGAATGGATAGTAAACCCTTTAATGAAAGTCTCTAATGGTAATATTCAGGAACAAAAATTCATCAATTATATGATCTACTCAAATAAGAGTATCTAAATTCAGTATTATGATTTCAGGCTAGAATACAAGGTTGAATTGAGAGGTGAAAATAGGTCTTGCCCTTCTTTAGGAAAGTCTGAAAGATCTCTTAATGCTGAATTCTGGGTGATAGGCTGTAGAGGCACAGGATGCTTCTCTCCACAGGTGTTATTTCCACACTTTTTGGGATTTGTGTTCATATTCAACATGAGCAAGACTGAGAGTTGTCTGGACTTTCCCCTTCATGTTATACAGCATTCATATTCATGTAGGCTTAGTATAAAAAAGAAGTCATGCAAGGGGTAACAGATTCAAATTGAAGGAGGGGAAATTTGGGCTAAATATTAGAAAAAGTGTTTTACTGTGAGGGTGGTGAGACACTGGAATAGGTTGCCCAGGGAGGTAGTGACTGTCCCAGCCTTGGCAGTGTTCAAAGCCAGGTTGGATAAAGCCCTGAGCAACCTGGTCTACTGGGGAGTTGTCCCTGTCCATGGCAGGGACCTTGGGACTAGATGATCTGTAAGGTCCATTCCAACCTCTAATATTCTATGATTCCATGAAGTCCAGGGCAGTGAGCTTGCTGTGTCTTCCTCACTGCCCTGAGGACCTTGAACTCCATCATTTCATGGTCACTACAGACAAGGCTACCTTGGAGGACCACATTCCTCACCAACTCCTCCCTGTTGGTGAGCACAAGGTCCAGCATGGCCCCTCTTCTTGCTGGTTCCTTGATCATCCATGTAAAGACTATTGATAACACATTTGAGGAGCCTTCAGGATTGCCTGTGCACTGCCATGTGACTCTTCCAACAGACATCAGGATGATTGAACTCCCCCATGAGGACCAGGGCTTATGAGCTTGAGGCTATAGAGGGCTGCCTATCTGTCTATAGAGGGCTTTGTCCACACCCTTTTGCACGGTTAATATGACACCAATAGGGCTACCAGCCCGAACATAATCTTGTATCTCTTACTCATATTCAGACCAGTTATTCAAGAGTTGTATTCATGAAAAGCATGGGAAGGACTGAGCTCACCTGACGTATTTCGCTCACTGTGTAGAGACAGACAGTAATTCCTTATGCTTAAAACCACTCTGTCTGTGTTGCTCTTACTACTTTTGTATGATAGCAACAACTGAAACTCTTCTTGAGTTCTCAGCATGCTAGGTCTTCTACAAATATCTGGAGCAGATCTGATGGCTGAACCCTCTGATTTCACCTTTGAAATCAGCTTAATATTTTTTCACCAGAAAGTGAAATCTGAGACTGGTCCATCTACCTAACATGTTACTTGCACTTGAGCTAAAAGAAAGGTATGCTTAGAAAGACCAAACCATGGAAAGACAGCCAGTGCTGCTATATGTTTTGACTTGAAAGTCCATTTCACACTCTTCTGCATTAATACAATTTAAAGCTTCTTGATAAGGCAATGTCTTCTTTGGAGCTTGAGAACCCATGATCACAATAGCAGTCAGTAACTGGACTTGCTTAAAAGGTTATTGCTCCACACCACTCTCAATGCATACACTGGCTTTCCAAAATGTGAAATCAGAATAGTGGTCTGTCCCTGGGTGTCAAGTTTGCCAAGAGGGGAGGTGGTACAGAAAGAGGCATGTCAGAAAGAAGCATTACAGATGCAGAGCAAAATGGAGCTCCTAAGTCTGATGCTTGTTAAAGGTTTGGTTTGTTAAAGATATTAAGCTTCATGCTAGGAGTCATTGTCTTTAGTGTTGTTCTGTTGGTATTCTTGTGCATGATACTAAGGCACAACTACTCACATCTTGCTTTACTGGATCATTCAGCTGTGCATTAGCATGCTATGGTGTACTCCTCATTTGAAATAAAACAAATTAGGATGTGTTCTGATACTAGACAAGCTTTCAACTAGTAAAATGAATTATATCAGAGATTGTTTTCCACAAATTTTGCTTAAACTGAAATCTGACCTCATTTACAAACCACTTTTCAACTATGTTGGTATAATGCCTTTGCACAGCATAATTTGAAAAGAAGCAGGGTCAGGTGTCAAGGGTATTTATGGCCATATTCAGTAGCCTCTCTGGCTCAAATTGATGTTAATTTCAAGAGGCAGGGTCTTGACTTTGGCTGCTTTAGTTTTGGTCTCATTTGGGGTTATTTTTGCCTTAGTTCTAACTGTGAACTGCTGTTCAAAAGCACTCTGCAGTTATCCATAGAGTTTGGGGATATTTTTATCAGGTGCAGACTGGATTCTTATAATCCTCACCATGCTTCAAGCCAAATTGCAGCTTTTCCAACATCAATCATACACACTCTGGTGCAGCAGGTTATAACAACTGTGCTGATTATGTACACAAAAATAAATGGGAATTAGGTCACATTCTGCGTTGCCAATAGTGGGGCAACAGTTTCATTGGTGTGCTTCAATTACTTTCATTTCTAAAGTCTTCAGCTTTGGTTCTGAATTCTTATGAGGTTGAGCTTTACCCAATAAAATGAAATCCTTCACAACCACAGATTAGATTAGAATCAGAAGTTGGAGGATGTGCCTTAAATGTGAAGTAGAAATAGCAGTATTGTGCTAAAGTGTTCCCATTTCTTTAGTGGAGACAGAGGAACCTGACAGGTATTGAATAAGGCTTTATTTCCTCACAAAACTAATCATTTTACTTACATACACATACACACACATATTAATCATGGTTATAATTTAAATCTGGAATCAAGTATGATTTGGTTTCAAGCAGACCTTGTCTAGGTGCCAGTAGTTAGGAATATTTCATGTTCTGGCTGATACTTTGTAGACTATAAAACTGTCTTGCTA